TTTTAAATGAGAGCACAACCGTGCTGATGTTGTCTTCACACAACTAGAGATTCTTTTCTGGAGGATAAATTTCATCTGACTCTGTGCAGTGGAAAAGCAGCATGCAGGTGTGTACCTGGACTGATGGGCATTTTCCGAATGTCCCATTTTGTACCTTACTGAGGATTCTTTCTGCGAATGTGCTCATGGGAGTACACCAATGTGAATACACAGAAAAATTACACTTTAGCTAAGCTCGGTTGAATTTACATAGATTCTACATTGCTTTCCAGAGCTAGCAGGCCCCATTCCTCACTGTGTCAGTTTTGTGTTTGTTTTAATGAACTTCTGTGTTCTTCCTACCCTGTTCAGCAAGGACTGTTTAATATCCACTTTGGGGATGTCACATTCTTAGAAACATGCCTTTCGCACATTGCCTTTAAAATTATTTAAGAAATCGTTATGGGTGTGAATTCATAAATTTTCTCTAACGTTATAGAAAATGTATGTACTAGAACCTCCAAATGTAAAAGCTAAAAGCCATGTTTTTGTTTTTTTTTAAAGTAATAGTGACCCACATTTCTTCTGCCTTTCTTATGCCACTTGGAGAAAGAGAAAAGACTAGCGTGGACTATACCTAAGGGCCCAGTGACAGTGGACTGAAGTACTGTTTACATAATAATCCAAAGCCCATGAAACTTTCTCAGAAACTCTGAACTGCAAAGAGTTAATAAACTGTTGCATAATCCTACTTAAGTTGGTTTCAGTTGGAGATATAATTTGAAGAACATTCTGTCTATTTGTTCATCTCAATATTCTGGGATTTATTACTGGATCAAGCCAGCCCAGCAGAGAACTGTATCTTTCTATCTCATCATCGTTGTCCTGTACAGATTGCCTTCTCTGAACTGTTTTCAGCTTGATTGACTCTGTGAGAAACTTGTGTGAAATACACTATGATATTTATTATGGATGAATTTTTACCATGACATCGTCTACTCTGTGACAGTTTCTCCTTTGTGAAGCCCCACTTAGGTCTTCTAATACCATGTGGCTTTTATACTCACAGCAAATACTTTGTTTCTACTGAGGTGGTGATATTCTTTTTCTCAGGGCCATAGTGAACTTTCTGTCAAATCACGTTTTCTATTTTCCTTTGGCAGGAGGATGCTCAGACCTAGATTTACAGCTCAATTCTAATAATTAGTTAGGACCCTGGAGGGTATTTATCTGCATACTTTATTTTCCTCCTATTCTGTATTTTTCCTGGACATGAGTTTTAAATTTATTGTGAACTGTCTTGTTAGCTTCTTCAGATTTACAATGTAGAGAAAAGAGTTAAAATATGTACATATATAAATATATTTGTGATACTTATATAAAATAAGTCTGCGTTTAAAGTGTGCTTTTTAATTGCCTATAAGAGATATCTGAAACTCGCAATTTTAATTTTCTGTCACTCTTTCTTTTAAAAATCATATTTGATAAAATAACGCATGAGTTTTGAATTGTGAGCATGTATGACACTGGGCACCGCACCTACCTTCTCCCATGCCTCAGACTCACATACCAACTTCCAGTCTAATGTGATTTCTTCCGGATCCTTGTTGACTGGAGGATGCGGGAGGGAGGGGTTTCCCTTCCAGGTCCTCGACTGTGCAGCTGCTTTCGGGCAGCATGCACCTCGGGCATCTGCAACCTCACACCTGCCACGGCCACTTCACAGCCTCCCTTGCCACTTTTTATGTCCATGCTTTACGTACACTTCTTAGATGGTTTACCTGTTGGATTTTAGACATCAGTGTGGAGGGCCTAGGAAAAGTGACTGTCGAATTCACAGAGACATTGTCCTGTGAGTAATGCTTCCTCATAACAGTGAATTCACAGAACCCCTGCAGTAGCATGGATAGCGGCCAGAACGTGAACTTGATCGTCAGAGAGACTTGGAACTCAGATCTTGACTTTGCCACGTACCAGTATGGTACCTTTGATAAAGTATTCAGCCTCTTCGTGTCTTTTTCCAATAAAATGGGAATGGTACTACTTACCTGTAAGAATTAAATGAGTCAATATATAATATTTATATGTCTATATTCAATGTCTGACATATACTGGACAGTGTTAGTTTCTTTTTAAATTGGAAGGAAATTATGGTTGCTGCCTTGAAAGTCATGCCAAACTACAGTTGAAGGGATTCAGTTAGTTGGGAATTATGCTCAGATGAGAGTTACTGAGACCTGAAGGGCAGAGGCTTAAATTAGTTTTATTTTTCCCAGATGATGGGAAGTTGGTGGACACATTGTTTCAAGAGCTCAAGTATGTCAAGGCTGATGTGCTATGAGTCTTGATTTTTTCCTCACAGTTGCATGATTGCTGTTACAGCTGTGGCCATCGTGTTTACTTTCTAGGAACTTGGAAGGAGGAAGACAGTGAAGGGAGACTAGAAGTACCTGTGTTCAGAAATTTTCCAAAAATTCTCTGAGTTTTACTGGCCCTTGGTGTCACATGGCCACCCATAGTGGCAAGGGAGCCTGGGAACTGTTTTTAGCTATATACTTTGCTACCCCGCTGCAAAAACAGGGTCCAATAATAAGGAGGAAAGGAAAGATAAATATTGGATAGACTGAAAGCATTCTCTGATATAGGTATCATCCTGTTTTGATTTTAGAAACTTCATTTTTCCAACATGAGATATCAGGGTGGTGGTGGGGAGTGGAGAGAAGCCCCGTTGGTGGCAGCTGGGTTCTCTTTGGAGTCAGGAAGTCTTTGAGTCGTCAGCAGGGGATGGGAAATAGAGAAGGATATTTAGTTTATTATCATATTTTGAATCTACTCTAAGTTAGTCATGGCACTGGTAGGAACTTTACATACATTATCTCATTAAGTTTTATAGATGAGGTAGGCTGTATTATCTACATATTTTATAAATAATAAAAGGCAACTAAGGCTCAAAATATGTTTCCCAAGGCCACATGGCCAGTAAGAGTAATGGAACCGGAATTCAGACTTGCACCTGACTGACCAAAAAGCTTTGTTTTGCATTGTAATGTTTTCCTGCGTGACTTGGCAGAATCCTGCTATTGGACTTTGCCTTTATTTTCCATAGTCCCTTGTACTACCAGGGTCCACACTAACTACATGTTGACTTTATTTGCATGCAGAGTGAAACAGCACATATACAGGACTGCTGCTGCTCTTGCTGAGGGGTGTACAGAGGAGGCTGGGAGACACGGGGGTGTTTCCCTCTCATCCCCACCACCAAGCGGTGGTGGTACCTGCCTCTGTATTTCTACTTCTAGAGTCCTTAGCACCTAGGGACGTTCTTGAGAACAGAGGGAATGTGGCAGAGCGCCAGTGACCAATCCCAGGGAGTCAAAATCTAGAATTGAAAGCTGAAAGAATGACTTAGCATGGAGACAGGTATCTATCTTCTCAAGTCAGAAGCCAGAAATTACCCGTGACTTCTTCCTCCCCTCTAACCCGGTTGATCACCAAGTCACTGTTTCGACCTCACTTAATCTTGTCTTTTCCTCTCCTGCCTGCTGCAGCTGTAGTAGTTCAGGCCTCATTCTCTCTCACATGATGTATTGCGGAGTTTCTGAAATGGCCTCCTGCTCCCCAGTCTTACTTCTGTTTGGTCCTTTTGCCCACAGATCAGACCTTGTAGTTGCCTTATTTGATGACATTGGAGACTCTTCAGCTGCTTACAGGATCAATTCGGTACCTTTTGTCCAATGTGCATGTCCCTTCATGACCTGCCTTGCCTCCTGTGTAGTCGGGTCAGTTCTTTGTCACCATACAGTTTTTTCCCTGCTGGGAGCATATCTCTTTCTCCTGGAGTTTACATGTGCAGTTCCCTCCTTTTCTTGTAGAGCTGTCTTTATCCCTTATCCTTCATGTTACTTGGAAAATTTCATTCATCCTTCAGACCTCTGCTCAAATCTCTTTCATCTTGGATACCATCTCTGTCTCCTTAGGCAGAGTGAAGTCCTCTCTTCTGCTCCCTCACTTGTATAATGACTAAGCATCATGAAGTACGGATCATGGTTGACTCAGCATTTTGTTCCCTGTGCCTAGCACTGTGCTTGGCATATGCCAGCACTCAGTAAATGTGTAATGTTTGTGTGTGCAGGATCGAACATTCAGCATGGACCAAAGACACAATAACTTGTCTAGTTCTTTACTTTTAGCACTAAGACACTGTGACTTTGAACAAACTCCTTATTTTTCCAATGCTAGATTAATGGGAGTGTATTTGTAAAATTACTCCGTCCCTGTGAATTGAATTATTCTTCCAGGTTCTTCCATAGTTTTGGTTAGTTTTTCAGGTTATTTTGATTCATTCCATTAAGCCAACTCAATGATGATTCTGATTCCCAAATCCAAGAGGCTTTAGGTCTATTGTATACTACACCTTTCCTCAAAGCTCAGTTGTGTTTTAGATGCTTTTCTTTATATTGATTGTCTGGCATCCATTCCAGACTGAAGACACATTTTAAATGCCATTTTTAAAATGATTCAAAATGTTTTTTCTCTCATTTTTCAGTACTGATTTCTAAGTATCTTTTGATGTGTTTTGCCCCCGTTAGCAACTTAGTAAAATATTTTCTTGCACAAAATGAAGAAGCAGACAAATAAGTAAATGATAATTATCTGAAGACTTTCTTCAAACCAAGAATATTGTTAGTTCTTAATTTTAATGCCTAATTTTTAATATATCAAATCATGATTACATTCAGCAGTTGCTTATATTGTGCACTACACGACAAGTTACAGGTAATTACTGGAAGAATGTAAGATTCTTGAAAGCTGGAGTCTTCTCTTTTTCATTGCTGAAACCTCATTGCCTAAAAGTGATACAGTACGTGTCAAATAAATAGTTGTCAAAAGAAGGAAAAAAAACAATGGCAGTAGCATATCAGTTAATTGGTTCCTGGCTGGCCAGTACTGCAGTGAACTTGCAAGTCCAAAGTCAATGAAAGAGAATTTCAGCCCTGGTACACCATACCTACCAAAGACCCTGCAGAAATCATACTTGTGCAAAAGGTCCACTGAACCAGATCTGAAGAGGTACGCCATTTTTTTTTGTTGTTGGCTTAATCTTCATAGCTGTGAGCTGTTTATGTTTCTACACCTCCACCTCATGTCTGTTGACATTAAGAACCAAAATCAGTGTTCTGTGCTTCCAGCTTAAATAGTTGTAGTTTTTCTCTGAAAGAAAAATGGATTCAAATTCTGGTATAAGGTTATTTAGTCCCCAAAAGATCTGACGAGTAACTGCAGTTGTATCATTACCTAACTAAAACTTTATTAGCCTGGTTCATAGATGATACTTTCCTAGCTTTTTATCCAAGTGTAATTTTGAACCATCAGACCATTTCATTTATTCCAACAAGTACTTCTCAGACACCTATTTTAGGCGAGGCTCTGTTAAATGTTTTTCTCCATGTTTGAAATTTTCTGAGTTATTACTATGTTGAAGAATTGTGGTTAAAAAAAATTGTGTTGTACTTCTAAAACTTATCATTGCAAGATCAGGAAAGACAGTTGACCATAACTGAACTCTAAGATTGGAGGCTATAACCATGTCTTTCACAGGTAATGGTCACTCAAATGTTAGGGCGTCACAAAGCCAGCCATCAATTAACCAAAGGAATTAGTTAACCATACCACTGCTTTCCTCAGCCAAGTTAGGTGTTAAGGAGTTTTACTAATGCAGAAAGGTGGTCTGAAGGGGAGTAAGAGATCTCAGAATGATATAGCATGAGAATTATAAATAAATTGTGGCTAAAAGCATAATATGAGTATATTAAGGTTTTCTGATATATGTATGTTACTTAATCTTCATTATAAGTGATTAAGATGAATATTCTGTTTGTATCTCAAGATCTTTTTAGGTGTTGGTTATAATTCCACTAATTTTTTTGGTTTCCAGTATATTGCCTGGAATTGGCAGTCAAATCAAAACCCAAACTTGAAATTAAACTTCTCTAACAGTAAATGAGAAGAGAAGAAACAAATGAACTAGCATTTATTTTCTTTTATACTTTGTATATTCAGATTTGAAGATTAAATACTGGCACCTCTGTCACTAATTTTTCTCCTAATGATCATTCCTGCTTCAGCTCTTTAAAATGGTTTGTTGGGTTTCACTTTAGCATGCAAGCCCTTAAGCTGTCTTTTGTAGCTTCCTAAGGGCCGAAGAGCTTGTTAGCCTGGAATTTAGTGTATTTTGGTACTAATTTGTTTTTAGTTATTCTTTTCTTGATTTTTTGGAACTCTTTTCATGAGGAAACTCTATGATTCTTACCAGCTACTCATAAACCAGTTTGGATTTAAGAATTACATAATTCACTACTTTGCTATTTGAGTAATAGTGTTCCAAATGGCAAAGATGTGAATATTTCACCGAATCTTGAGGGATGTGGCTGATACTTAAATCCTCAGAGGAAAACTAAAACTCCTGAAATTTGTGATTGGATCAGAAATGTGGCCAAGGAAGACAAATAGTTTAATATGTAAATGCTTGCTATTAATAAAAGATAAGCATGACCTTCTTAGTGGAATAACTTTTCTTGTGTTTTTACTGTGTTCATTAACACAAAGAACAAGGAACCTCAATAGCGGCTTGAGATCTGTCTCACAGGAAAACATTAGGTAGTAATTAAGAACAAGGGTTTTTTTTTTGTTTTTTTTTTAGTTTGTGAAATTTTAACTAGACTGTCTAACATGCTCACTACCTGCCACATGTACCTACTGAGCCCTTGAAATGTAACCAGTCTGAATTCAGATGTGCTGTAAATATACATGCTGCGTTTCAAAGACTTGGTATTTAAAAAAATTGTAAAATATCTCAATACTTTTTATTGATTACACATTGCCCTGATAATATTCTGGATATACTGTGTTAATAAAAAGAGTATTAAAATTAATTTCACCTATTTCCTTTAACTTTTTTACTATGGCTGCCAGAAAATTTTAAATCACATGTGTGGTTCACCTCACAGTTTTATTGAACAATGCCAGTCTAATAGGTTTTAAAAAACAACCCTCAGTATGTATAGTAAATATTAGTTATTAAGAGTATAGCTGATTCAGCTCTTAACCTCTAGAACACTCAATCCTTTTGGAGAGCTGGAAAGCCCAGTCACTCTGCTTCCTTCAAGGGCCGCGGGCCAAAGCGCTATTCTTTGGAATTGCCAACCCTGATTCAGTTGGCTGAGAGCAATCGGTAGGTAGTTATGGAGGCAAGGCGCTGCTTTGTGGTTGTGCAGCCCCAGTGAATGAACCTACTGCTTCCCTCACGTCTACCTCTTCCCTGACGACTCTTCCATAGTTAATCATCGGTGAGACTTATGGTAGCATAGATCAAAATAATGCAGTTTTTCAAAGACCCAGTTTATATGTTTCCATCTACCATAAATTATGGTATGCCATAAATTATCATGGCTTATCTTATTTACAAACCTTGAATAATATTTTGTCACTTACTATATTACAGATAATATTCATAACCCAAAATGAGTTTTTGATTTTGTTCTTTCATACAAAACCAGCTGAAGCAGAAGCTACATGTTGGAGCTAGGAAGCAAGCATTTATTAATAGCCTTTTTTTTCCAGGGAGGTTTAACTATTTCCTTGTGGGGGGAAAAATCATATAAAATGTATGTGTGCTTTATTTTAAATTCTTTAATTTATGAACTGTTTGACACCAACCTAAAGGGTCTTGAAGCTCTGAAATAAACTAGAATGAAGTCACATTATGTTAAGCAGAGAGAGGCAGTTGAATAGACTTGGATAATAATAAAACCTGTAAAGGTCATTTTGTGAAGATAAATGTAATACTTGAATTAGTCATTTACTTTCTCTAAAAAAGTAATAAGTTAATTTCATTCCCCCAAAAAACCCTCCGAGATTGGAGGTTTTCTTTTTAACGCCTTTCATCTTAGGCAATCTTTTGTAAATCATGCAAAGGACCATACAATTAGCATGAAATGAGAGAGTGCTTTTAAAATTTGGTGAATAAGGGCTCTCTTTTCTCCAGCTGATATGCATGCAAGGTGGAGGTCTGTATCTCACCAGCAGACAGGGTATTTGCTATCTACCCTATAAGTAGCCCCCCGTTTATATCTGCCTCTTAATGAGGAAAGAGGTCTGGAAGTAATAAAAGTGAGCTTAAAGTGCATAAAAAATAGCCACAATGCTGTAGTGTGTGTAAATGCTGCAGGCTTGGACAGTTGGTCTTTTCACCTTGCCCTGGATTCCCAAGATGGCCCCTTTTCCTGGCAGTTAATTGAGGGCATTTTAGTAAGATCTCCATGAACATAAATTTTGGGGGGGCGGGGGAGGACGTTGTACCTGTCATTTATCATGAAAGTATGCTTTAACATTTCTTTTTCTAAATGCTATCTCTTTAGAAAAGTGTTTTTGCCTCTATATTGTTATGAGCTGTTTGCTTTTTAGAAATACTTGTCTTTGAGTTTCTAGTACTTACATTTGTATTCTTTCTGACAGAAGTAATAATATCCTGTCTTATTAATCAGGAGTGCCCCCTCCTCTGTTTTAAACGTGTTTTTAAATGATGAGATTCCTAATATTGTTAGGAAAGTTTTTATAACTTACTAGTCATTTATGCTCACATTCTTTTATTGTGCTGCATAATTCCTTCATATGTAGCTCAAACATTTCCAATTGCATACAAGAAATCATAATTCCATAAATAAGATAAATAAATCATTAGTTGAGCCAACTTTTCCCCTTTAAGGTACCACCATAACTAGGACGGCCAGATTTAGCAAATAAAAATACTGGATGCCCAGTTAAAATTGAACTTCAGATAAACAACAGATAACTTTTTTAGTGTAAGTTTGTCCCATGTGATATTTGGATCATACTCAGACTTAAAAAATCATCTACATTGGATCTATAACCTTAACTCGGCCCTCTTATGAACTCAAAGAACTCCCAAATCAGGTGAATTCTATGCTCAGCTCTTCTGCACAATGCTGTTTGCTGATCATCCTACCCCAGCTCAGTATTTAGATACCGTAATGCAAGTACAATCTTTGCAGCCTCATATACACATATACAAATATAAAGTATGTTTTCTGATTTATCTACATATTTTGGAGGCATACTCTATTCTCATGTTGCCTGCTTCTTGTTTTAAAAAGGAAAATGCTCTCTCTTTTTTTTTTATCCTCACCCGAGGACATTTTTCCATTTTTTGTACAGATAGAGTGGGAGGGAGAGAGAGGAAGGGAGAGAGAGAGAGAAACATCGACATGAATGGACACATCGAGTGGCTGCCACCCACACGACCAACCAGGGCCGGGGACAAACTGCAACTGAAGTACCTGCCCTTAGCGGGAACCGAACCCGGGTCTCTCTGGACCGCAGGCCAACGCTCTAACTGCTGAGCCAAACTGGCCAGGGCGAAAATGCTCTCTTATAAAGTGGCAATACTGATTCTGAAAGCTACAAAGACACCTGTAGCAGAATTGGGATTCTCCTCCTCACCCACCTCTGTTTTTGGTTCATTTAGTTTGAAATCTCTAGCAGTATAATTACAGATAAGAAATCTTTAAAAAAGCAAATTCAGAGAGAAAATGCATTTCCAGTATGCTTTGTAAATGTGGAGGGCAAGTAGCTGAAAAGTGACTTCCAACGTGAACACTGCTGTCCAGGGGAAAGATTTTAATTTCCCTTCCCTCTCTCATGTGCCCCCACCTTGCCCTCCACATAGCCACTCCTCATCTCTTGTCATTTGCGTTGTTACCAAGGTTTCCAGGAGACGATCCTCCCTGCAGCCTTGCTGCCTTCCACAGCCAGCAGCGAACCTGCCATACCACGGCTCACCTTCAGTGACTAACTTAGCAGTTCAGGGCCACACTGGTTAACATGACATCCAACGTCTTTCCTGATCTGGCCTCTACTTGATTGCCCTTCATCCTTTCCCTTCTTCCTTAGCACTTGATGCTACTGCAGTAACAAACATTTGTAGCGCCTCAACCATGCTTCTTCATATGTCCAGCTTTTTGTGCATTGTTCCCTCGGACTGCAATGGATGTCCCCTTTTATCTTCCTAGCAAAATCCCATTCATCCTTGAAAATCCTATAGGCATCATTGCTCTGTGAGGCTTTCCCTGACCACCACCCTTCACTCTCCTTAGAGTGGATCCTGCTCGCGTAGGTCAGCTTGTGTATATAGTTGTGGTGTTGCATCCATCACAGTGTATGGCAGTGGTTTATTTGTATGTCTGTCTCCTGTAGAGGGGTGCAGGGTTTTTTGAGGACAAGACATTATCATTGTCATTTCCAAATCTCTAGTTTCCAGCACAGGTTCTGTACCTTCTACCCCTAAGGCTGTCCATCAGTTTCTTTGGAGTGGGAATGGAGTCAGGGTTGGGATGGGGAGTGTAGGGGGCAGGAGAGGGAGGAAGAGATTCTTACTGCGGTAGCCTGGCATTGCTCCTCGCTTGACTAGTCTTCCTACCGGAAACCTTGTCTTGTGTTCTGTCCCCTCACGTCCTACCCAATCATGGAAGATAATTAATAAATTAATTCACAATGAGATATTCAATTATATTGATAGCTTGAAGTGTAACTCTTCTAAGACAGTATTTGCATTTTAACGGATGCTTTTAATCCCAGTCTCCAAAGAATGGATAATTCTGCTATGATATATATACTACATAGCAAGTACATACTTTATTATGGCAAGGAAAGGGTGGTTTTTTTTGTTTTTTTTTTAATCTTGGGAACTTTTAATCACCCCTCCAATAGTATTACCTAGGTGCTGCCGGTACATGGGTGAGTCAGGAATGACATCTGATGGCATAAATTATGGGGTTGTTTTTCTTCATCTGAGAATGTCCAGAGTTAGGTCAATGAGAGCCAGTATCATGACTCCATGATACCCTCCAAGTCCTAGACATCTGTCTTTCTGCTCCACACCTTTAATGTGTGGCTTCCATATACCAGGTTGCTTTTTTTTTTTTTTTGGTACATGTTTATATTCGTACAACACCATATTTCGAAAAGGATGAGGTACCTTAAAATGTATAAATGAGATTGTAAATAAAATTTTACATAATGCAAAAAAAAAACAAAAAAACCCAAAGGCTGAAAAGTCAAATAGAAGCAGAGACAGGTTATTTTCCCTGATATTTATGCCTAGAGCCCTTTATCCTACTACAATTCATTGTATTATCCCACTTGATTCTTAACACAGTCCTACAAAGTGGAAAGGCTAGGCTTAATTAACCCAGTTTTACAGATGAGGAAACTGTTAGGAAGACCTTAAATGATCTTCCCAAGTAAAAATTGGGACTAGATCTAAATTTCCTAACTTCTAGCCCAACACTCAGTTCCTGATGCCTGAGATACCGAGGCAGGAGAGCCCCAGGGGAAGAGGTTGGCCCACTGAACGCTTCTGTGGCCTGTCTTGAAGTTCCAGTCCCTCTGCTGCTTGCTGGCTCCCAGCGCCCCGGCCAGAGCTGATGCCATCCTCCACTCCAACTCATCCCACCAAGTCTCATTGAGACTCTCCTCTTAAATAGTATAGTAATTCTATATGTTTATCATGAAAGTAGCCCAATCTGGTTTTCAGGTCCCTCAGGGGCTAATTCTTGGCCGTTAGTACCAAGAATTATACATTTAGGATTAGACATATGTCTATGTTAAGACAAATCATGAACCAAAGGTCATAATTATAGGGAATGATGTTTTGGTCTCGGTAAAATAAAAATCCTTCTATTAACAGGGCTGTCTATACCCAAAGTGGGTGGGCACGTGTGGGGAGGCACTGCTGGGCGGTAGACTCCCTCGCCTGCTGCAACCTCGTATGGGCTCGGTGCCCTCTTGTCAGGGACAGGCCGGGCGGGGGTCTCCTTGGCTTCTACCAGTTGGATTAGATGCCTGACTCTGCTTCCAACTCCTCCAGACTTCAGGGGGACTCTTTTGTGTATGTGTATATTTTCTTACAAACTTTTTGCTATACATAAAAATAACATAAGTAAATATTGTGTTAAAACCCAGTTAGGTACATTTACACCATGGAACACCACTCGGCCGTAAAAATGAAGGAAAGCCCACCCCCCAAGTGAAATATGCCATCCAGAGGGGGACAAGCACCACACGACCCCACTCATGTGTGGAATCTAATGAACAAAACAAACCAACATACAAAAGAAAAAACCAATTAGGCTCTTTCTACTCGAGACCATATTATATTTTCCATTCGAGACCATATTATGTTGTTGTTATTACTTATCTCGGAAATGGCCGTGCGGGTGCCTGCTGCAACAAGCCCAGACCCCGTGACTGCTCTCGGGATGGCGGCTGCCTGTTGCGACCTTGCCAGGCTGGGTAGCTTGCCTGTCATATTATTATCCGGCCCCATAGCTGCATGTCATGACTTTTAAGGGATTCTAAGAGAATATGTTTTTTAAAATTGAATTTATTGGGGCTACATTGGTCAATAAAATTATGTAGGGTTAAGATGTACAGTTCTAGAATACATCTGTATATTGTTTCATGAGTTTACCACTCCAAGTCGCGTCTCTTTGCATCACCATTTGCCTCCCCCCTTACTCTCTTCTGCTTCCCCCCACCCCCATTTCCCTTTGGTAATCACCATATTGTTGTCTGAGGGGTTTTTCTGTTTTGATTTGATTTTTGTTTAATCTCTTCACCTTTTTAACTTAGCTCCCTACCCCCTCCCCTCTGACAGCTATGCGTCTGTTTCTATTTTGTTTGTTAGTTTATTCCATTCATTAGACTCCACATATAAACAAAATCACATGGCACCTCTGCCCCCCTCACTGCCCCCCCCAGCACAGTACTCCAGGTCTATCCATGCTGCCACAAAAGGCAAACTCTCCCTCCCTTCCAGGCCCTGGGGTTCTCCATGTGTTGATTACAACATGGCTGCTGTATCTCCAGCCACAGAAGATTGAGGCAAAAGCAAGCCCCCTTTAAATAACTTTTCCAAAAGCCCTGTCCAGTCGCCTTCCTTACATCTCATTGACTACCCCCACCAACAGCGATGGCCGGGAAGTGCTGTTACTGAGGCACCTGCCACCTAGAGAGCTATAACTAAGGAACGGGAGAGCCCACTGCCAGGCAACTTGTAATCTTACAACAGTTCAGATTAGGGCAAATAATCTGTTATTATTTGCCTTTATAAAATCATTCAAATAAAAATATTTAGAATGAAAAGTTTATATTAGTTAATATTATAATAGAATTTTCATTAAGATGTAATACTTTTAATGAAATATAAGGTCTTATAAGACTGTCCAGAAAATACTTACAGCATCCCCACTGTCTGTAGCGCTGTACCCAGTGCCAAGGAGATGGATGAATTCCTTTTGCCCTCAAGGGTTTCATCAGTCTAACAGCCCAGGACAGAAAGACACGTGAAAACTTAAATAATGGTATATTATAGCATATGACTGTGTTAATCCTACAGTAAAAACTAAATCATAATAGCATAGACTAAATTCTATAGGAGAAATTCAGAATTTAGAGTCATCACTATAGCTGCAGTGGCCAAAGAAGACCTTCCACAAAAGAGAGGATGTATGTAGATCTCTACAGGCAAACAAGAATGGCAGAGACGGTCCCCACGCCGGTGACTTGAACCACCTGTTGTTTGAGGATATTTATATTAATATATTTAATATACTCATATTATTTTAAATATTGTTCATACTTTAAAAACAGTACATGCATTTAAAGAGAAAATGTCAGTCCACTATCATAAATGCAAAACCACCTGTCAACTAAAAGGTAACAACAAAATGTTGATATTAAAATTTAAAAATACATAGTGAAGTAGAAGTAATGGTAAACCTCAACTGAATCAAGATTTTTAGAGGAGAAAATGGAACATTCTGTGGTCAGTCAGTGGTCAAGGGACAGCTGGCTTGATGGCATGTTGTTTAAGACAAAGGTGAAGTCCCACGTCCAGTAAGACCGTTCGGGTCCCAGTGCTAATGTAAACCAGCAGCAAAATTTCCAATTCATGTGTATATGAAGTTGGAAATACATAAATATATTTAACGCCATTTTTCTTAGGTTGTTTGTAGACTCAGTTTTTAACCAAAATAGTGTGGATGACTTTTGGGGGCCAAATGTTTGTTTCAGAAAGCCATTTTCAGGCCATTTTGAATGTAAAGTTATTGAATAATGTTTAGAAAGGGGTAGAACAGCCTGACCAGTGTGGCTCAGTGGATTGAACGTTGTCCCATGGACTAACAGGTCCCGGTTCAATTCCAGGTCAGGCCACATGCCCGGGTTGTGGGTTCGATCCCCATTAGGGGATGTGCAGGAGGCAGCTGATCGATGTTTCTCTCTCACATCGATGTTTTTCTCTCTCTTTTCCTCTCCCTCTAAAAAAAAATCAATAAAAACATTTTCTTTTTTAAAGTGGTAGAACAAAAGACTTCCTTTTCCATTTGCCACTGCCATGTTGTTTGGGGAAAGAACCTTTTGTCAAGTTCAGAGTATCTTCACTGAATTCTTCATTTGTGTTTACGACCCAGTGTTTCAGGAACCAAAAGGGTCTCGATAGCTGCTGGCTGCGCAAGTGGCTGGAGGAGGTCAGGAGCCGGTCCCCACAGCTCTGGCCTCGGCCTAGCACTCGGCGACAGTGACAACCAGTATTTCTGTCTCTTCAGCTGAGCTTAGGTGCTGTGCCAAGTACAGTGCATGCGTGATGATATGTTAGTTTTTCCATAATTAAACAAACTGACATTCAGAAACGTGAAATGACTTGCCCAGGTCACTTAGCTACCATGTGGCTCAAACTTGAATTCAGATGTACTGGACTCAATCCAGAACTTAACTGCCAAGTCCCTGAGTCAGAATCAGGGTCACAGGTCTTCCTCAGGTTCCCAGAGCCCCTGGTTCTGAGCTCACTGCAGCTGGGTCAACCCCCAGGGAGCCCATCCCTGCTGACTCCTGTGTACACGCACGTGCTCACATTTGCAGGGCTGAGAGGTTGCCACTGAAGGCTTTGATCTAGGAAAGAAAGGATACAGCCCCTAACCCGTCTTGCTCTTCACTGTGCCTTTTGTCTAGCCCATGAAGCTTTCCTGAATCCTAGCCCCCCGGGGCGCCTCCTCCTCCTCAGCACTCATAGAGTCAGTGGTGCAAACCCTCACTCCGCAGGAATCACTGGCCAGACTAGAGGGAATTATGACTAGAAGTCGGTTGGCCTAGATCATCTAGGGAATTGAAAATGAAATCTAAAAGTTTGACCTCCATTTTGTATGTGTTAGGAGGTCACTGACAATAATGATATTTTTTAATCAGGGTAGATAAAAATCAGCGATTTTCCTTCAAAACACTATTATAAAGGGTAAAATTTCCAATTGTATTATATTGACCATAGTCATGTCACCTTCCATGGAAATGTGAGTCATTGCAATACGTCCCAAACATGTTCACGTTCTATCGAGAGCAGTTCTTCGCATCAGCACTAGTGAGAACTTGGCTTTGGTAGAGCAGCGAGCAGTTGTTCATAGCAACAAATTTGGTGATTATGGTAAATTATTTAGGAAGTATATTTTTCCTGACGAAATTTTAAAATTGTCATTTCATGAACAGCAATCCCTTACACACCTGCATTTAACAAGTAGTCTGGTACTAACAGCAGTAACTGTCTACAGGTTTGGGGAACAGGTGATTTCTATTTGACTTTAATTTTTAAATGTATTCATTTAGCAAATAATTTTTAGGCATCTACTTTGATCATAGTTTTGCATCATCCCTGGTCATGTGGGTGGGGGATATGAAGACTCAGAAATCTCTATGCAAATCACAGAAATCTCTGGAAACAGAATTAAAGTTCATTTTCTTTTTTATGAATGTAAACAAACAGAAAAGGAAAATGCTGAAACCTGAACTAGAAATATAACCAGTCTCATACCATGGGTCTGGCTGACAGCTCATTCCATTTTTATTTTAACGAAAGATACATTTCATGTCCTGGTATAATTTTAAAAAACAAGTTTACATACTTTTCATTGATGCAAAAACAGTATCACACAAAAGTGTATGTTAATTTTCTTGACACTAGCCCTAATAAAACAGGAGGAAAAAACATGCAGTATCAGCCTCTGGGTATCTTTGGTCAGGTAGGATTTAGGGGCTCCAGTCATGCGCAACTCATCTTTTTCCTGACATTTAATTATTCATTAAGTCCTGTCAGAGAGCCTCTTGTTTGTCCTTTCCTTTACCTCTCCTATGCCGGGACCAGAGATGCGACCCTTATCACCCCTCATCTGATTTATCACAGAGCCTCCTGACAGATCTTTCTTCCTCCTGACTTTTGCCTTTCTGGTCTATTCTTTACATGGTGTCAGGCATTTATACTTAAAAAAAGAAAGTTGTGTTCCCATCTTCTCCACCCCCTTCAAAAATCTAGAGTTACCTGTACTTAGCATGGCATTTGCCAGTGGGGCTGGAGTTCTTGCCAGGCCCGTCTAGGACTGCATTCCACCTGGTCCTCCATGCTAGCATCTCCATCCCCTTCCCAAACACGCCTCGTGCTTGCATAGCTCCCTCCTGGGGGGCTGGCTGGCTGCCTGGCGTGTGGAATGTCCCTTCCAAGGCAGCCACCAGGGAGCTCAGCCCTGACCGTCAAGCCCGCCCAGAATGTGCTTCCCCACGCTCCCCCGTCGGAAGTCAGTTCTCCGTTTTAGGCACTCCACCTGAGATTGATTTTTACTCCTGGTAGGCGTTCTTAGAAGTTTGTTACATATTCCAGTGCCTCTTTTTTTTTCCACCTTTTCTTCTTTCTTCTTTCTTCTTTCTTCTTCTTCTCCTGCTCCTGCTCCTCCTCCTCTTGCTCCTCCTCCTCTTGCTCCTCCTCCTCCTCCTCCCTTCCTCCTCCTTCCTTCTTTCTTTTTTTGTAACATGTGTCTTTCTTTTATGCTCTGGGTACCCAGTAACTTTGAGCTAACTTCAAAGTGTAAAACACAGTCATACTGATTCTCATTTCCAGCATGTTTGGTTTCTAATTTCCTTGTCCCTGACTTTCTTTTGCAGTGTTTTCTTTATTCTTCTATTGGATATTGCCTCAAAACCTTTGTAGAGCCCTGGCTGGTTTGGCTTAGCAGTTAGAGCGTTGGCCCACAGACCAGTGAGCCGCAGGTTCGATTCTGGTCAAGGGCACGTACCTCGGTTGTGGTTCATCCCTGGCCCTGGTTGGGTCGTGCAGGAGGCAACCAGTCGATGTGGCTCTATCATATCAATGTTTCTCTCTCTCCCTCCCTCCCTCCCACTCTATCTGATGATAAATAGAAAAATATCCTTGGTGAGGAATAAAAAATAAAAATAAAAAACCTTTGTAGGGAGAGAGTACGATTTGAGTGGATACAAGTGAATGCATGGACCAGGCATCTGTGAAAGCAGGAAGTGTCCTGCTCACCTTTGTGTTCCAGCATGTGTCTTCACGGGGTAAGTGAACTGAAAGGGAGCATGTCTCTCTCTCCACATCTTTATAAGTGTCTGCACAGAGAATTTATCATCAGTTCTGATGAATAAGAAAATCACTCTGACATTTTCTGGTGTGGATATGAGAATATCTGCTTTAATTATAAAAAATAAAACAATCCTTAAAATGTATACTTTGTTGTTGTTAGAAATGAACCCTCATATTTCTCTCATTCTCAAAGAAGGTATTAAGGTTACACAAATACTAATGGTGCAGTACTTATGCATTTATAAGGAAATTTATTTGTATTAAGTTAGATACTGTGGATGCACCTGACTAGCAATTTGAATTGAGGTGCCACTGCTGTCACTCTGCTGAAGTCCCCTACCTCATGTCTGCATGTCCAGTGTGTCCTCTTCATGCCACAGCCAGAACATTCCAAGTTTCCATCTCTTACAGATACTTATTCTTACATATTTTTTAAAAGTACCAACCACAGGGGATGCATTGCTTTCTTTTCTGTTCTTTTTTAAATTATCTTAAATATTTGATCATAACATCAAACCAAGGAACAAAAAGTTCTACTTGTTAGCTCCATTCTTGATGTGTTTTATGTTCCTTTGAATAAAAGAAGTCAAAGTAGTCTCTAAATCACAGGCCAGTTTGGACCATTCTGAAATTTGATTACTTAGTTTTGCATTAGTTTTAGGCTTATTTTGCTGATTATATGAACCAGACTCTTCCCTGAACCTCCCTGGTGACCTGGGCCAGTGTGCAGAGCTGGGGATTGGGAATTTCCATTCCCTCCATGGCTTTTGACAATTACCTAACTTGCCTGTATTTCCTTATTGACACCATTGGGATAATCGCCTTTCATACCTCATAGGAGTACTGTGAGATTAATTAATGTTTGTGAAGTGTTTTTTAGATCACAATGAAAGGTATTTATTAATTTGTAAGTTTGTGGTATTACTATAATTATTAGTAGTATTAGGGATAGTTGTTTAATACAAATTTTAATCTAAGTGTAGTGTCATATTTTCAAAGGACAAACTCTTTCTTTGTGGCCAGATGTGGATACAATTAACCCTTTACCCTTTATTTTGAAGATACAATTAGCCAATTGTGTATGCAATTAGACATGTATGCAGTTTTTGCCAGAACAGCTAATTACAGCCTTGGTAAAAGTCCTTTTGAAAGCGCTGGCCCTTTGAATCTGGACTGCCCCTATCTCTGCAATAAGCCATTTGTGCTAAGCATGTTTGGGGGCCGTGGAGTCTCCTGAATATTGAAGAATTGCTTTTGCGGTTACTGGAGGATTTTACTTTCTTGAAGCCATAGCTTTGTATTTTGCCATCAAGCCTAAAAAAGCCTTTCACATAGTTCTGGTTTCAAAGGTTTTATTGATTTTTCTTAATCTTGACAGTCAGCTGAAAGATTTTCCACAGACTGCATTTTGTGAAACAGGTTTTTCTTTTGTAATTTTTTTCGTCTCCCTTGAAAACTCCATTTCCTTTCTGTCTCTGATCCAAACATATCATCTCATATTCTCCTTACTCAATAGTGAGTGAGAAACAGATCAGTACTGATCCCCTCTTCCCAGATATGGCCTTGTGACACCATTTTACAGGGGACTTTTAATCACTATAATGCAAATTCTATTTATACAGAAGAGTAGAAAGAACAGTGAAGAGACAGGGAAGATATGGTTATATCCATTTGTCTCCACTGATATACTGTTATTAAGTGAAAGGGAAATGTTCACGGCTTTTAATGGTAAAGTTTTAAAACAGCCTCTTTTAAGATGTCTCTCCTCTTCAACACTCCTCAGCATTGATAATCCTTGAACTTGACTTTGTAAAAGGCACCATCCACCACCACGGGAGACTGAGAGATGAGCAAAGCACACTTGTCACCTTCTAGGAGCTTGGGATAAAGTGTTGAAGATAAGAAAGGGGCGCAGGTCTGCAGAGTGCATTAAGGGCTGTACACACTGGGGTAGCAATGGGGTGGGAATCACACGGATCAAGGCACCAGCAGAAGTTTCTTATAAGCCGTACTGGAGATAGGACCAGAAGGATAGGTCAACTTTTGATAGACAAGAGGGAACATTTTTGTCTGAGTCAAGACCTGAGCTGCTAAAACGGAGGCAGGTTCAGGGAAGAGTGATTGGTTTTGCTAGCGTTGTGGTGACCTTGAAAAGGAAGTGCCAGGAGATAAGACTGGACAGGCAGCTTGCAGTCACAGTGTGGAGGGCCCTGGAACGTAGGTAGGAGAGTATGTACTTCATTCAGCTGCCAACGTGAAGCTACTATAGGTTTTGATGGAGTGATATGACCAGAGCCAGGCTTTAAAATCAAGCTGGCCCCAGCACGCCAGATGACGTGCCGTGGAGACAGACTTGAGGAGAGTTGGTTGCACTGAGAGATGATGCCAAAAAGAAGACCAGAGTCATTTCTGGGCTATTTAGCACTGGGAGTGAAGAACAGAGTTATTGTACACTTGAGACACACTGTGGAGTTACTATTTCTTCATATTGGCAATTGTCCTGACACAGAGGTGAAGGACAGGAAGGAGGTGGGTCAAGATGACTGGGATGAAAGAGGGAAGTACCTTTCCTTGAAATAGGGATGTGTGGGAGAGGGGCAGATGTACGAGAACTAACTTCTGGGAATTACCACACCATGGCATGTTTATACACATAGACGAGAGAGAAGATTAATTCTAGATATCCAATGTAATGTTTCCAGTAAGAATAGTGGGGAAGACTTACATTTTCTCTCAACAACAAAAAAATCTACTCATATTGCTAAGGCATCTTATTAACATGGCAAATGAGAGAATATAAACAGTAGGCTTGAAGGAATTAAATACATTTCTTGGAGCCTATTGACCTTTATAGTATGAAAAACTAATTGGAAGGCTATACATATATGTTAAATGTCCAAAACACAGCTCTGTGTATATGCTTAAAAGTATCTTTGACGGTTACTTTTCCAAGTTTCTATTTGAAACACTTGAAATGAAGAAGCCAGAGCAAAACAGTATTCGCCTATCTAATCTTAGGAAGGTCTGTTCTCCATCTCCTTCTGTCAAACACTGGTTTCCAAGGAGATTCTATGGATAATTTATCATGCCACCAGTCTCAAGAATGTGGAGCTGTACCCAAGTAGCCCTAACATCCCTAGATAACCTGACATGATTGTCATCCATAAATTTCCTATCCTCTTTCCAGCCTCATTACATTTTCAGGCTGTATCATGTGTGTCACTGAATAATAAATCTCATAATTTAGGGAGATATTGCCAATTATTAAACTTCTCAGCCTTCATTTGTAAAATTAAAAGTCTGTAATCCATATGGTAGATGCTCTATGCAGATAATTTCAGTTGCCTTTTTCCTCAAGTAATTGAGGCATTATGGGAAGACTGTAAGCTTAGGAATAATATCTAGTTATCTTTCCTGTAAAATGCAAATAATGAAAATGTATCCAGTTGCTCAGGCTGAATCTTTGGAGTTATGCTGGTTCCTCTCATTTCTCATACCTACAGCCAATCCAACAGCAAATGCTGTGCCTTCGGATCCATCTGGAATCCATCACTTCTTGCCCCCTTCACTGCCCCCTGGGCCCAAGCAACTGTCCTCTCCTACCTGGATTACTGTAGTCACTTCTTCACTTCCTGCTTCCATGGTTGCTGCTCAGCAGGGTCAAGTAACAGTGTCCAAACCTGTAGAGAATTTTCATAAAAATGTATTTGAGCCAAACAGAGGCTAAGCCTGGAAGCAAGATCTCAACAGATTGAGAAAAAATGCTTCCTGGAGTAGCAGTATGCAGCTTCCTGTATGCATTTGGGATCAAGGAGGGAGCTGTAAGGAGGATTATGTGAAGGTGGAAGAAACCAAGGCAGGGATTGTATTACAAAATAGTTAACAAGATTATGTGCTCTCTAGAGGGTGGTTTTTCTGGAGGGGTCTGAAAAGAGGCATTCCAAAGATGAACAGAAACAAGGGACAGGCTTACTTAAGGCAGAGATAAACCTTTTACTAAAATAGTAACTGCCTGGGGCATGGCTACTCACCATGACCTGTCCAGTTAGGAATTTATGATCAGATCATGCTTTGAGGGTACTTTCCATAGAACCCCTGTTTCATCCACAGCAGTCTATTCTGAACTATGCAAAAGACGCAGTAATTTCTTTTCAAACCTAAAGCAGATCACTTTAGTTCAAGTCAGACCTCGAGGCCCTGCACCGTCTGGTCTCCCAGTAGCCCCTTGTCATACTCCCATTTCTGTTCACCGCTTCCTGGCTGTTCGTCCTCCTCCTGCAGAGCCTTGGCATTGGCTGTCCTGGCTGGGAACACCCTTCCCTCATCTGCAACTGTTTCTTCAGTTGTCATCTTCTCAGGAAAGCCTTTCCTGCCTAACTTCATTTATTGTAACTCTCCATCCCTCCTTTCTGCTTTATTTTTCTTCATAGTACCTATCATCCTCTACTGCTCTACAATGTATTTCACTTAATTTTATTGTATGTCCTTCCCAGTGCTTATAACAATGTCTGGCAATAGTGGAAGTGCTCAGGAAATATCTGCTGAATGAATGAACAGAGCCATACTTGTAGACATGATTATTAAATGCAGTTACTTATCAGAACAACACATATTTGCTCAATAAACATTACCTTCATTTTCCCCCTTTCATTTTCTAAGGCATAGCGTATAGAGTTGCATCCGGCATTCTGAAAGCAAATTTAACATTGTTTTTGTACAGAAAAGTTACGGTCATTTAACATGTGGTGGTATAACTATAATGTGCTGGTGCATTCAGAAAGCATGCTTCCATTTTTCTGGCCACTCATTCAGGCTTAGGAGATCTTCCTGCAATTTGTCTGAGATTGTATTACTGAGAAGGTATTAGATAAATCTGACATTTACAAAAATGTTAGACCTGTCTTAGTAATGGTTTCCAGACACTTAAACATAACAGTTTCCATTTAGATAAATTTGTATCTATTTCAAATTTTTATTTCAGCTCCACAAATTATTTTTCTAATAGCTTTTAATGAAGAAAGTTAGTCAAAGGCTTTTTTCCCAGTGGAAGTTAAGTAAGAACTTGTCAGTAATGATTGGTGTCTGACTAAACAATATATGCCTACTTAGAAAATATTTTGTTGGGTACAAACTTATTTTTGTGTATATAAAACACATACATATACATTCAAGAGGGTAAATTCCTTAAATACTTTATCAAAGGCTATTAGGAGTGTATTAGTCACTCATCTTCATTGTAATTCTGTAATTTCTGTCTGTATTCCTGTGCTTTTGTTTTGTATATGTTGATCCTGGTATTTGATGTAACAAGTTTTGTGACTTTTATATTTCATTATGAATTTTGTCTTTTATTAACAACAAAAATATCTTCTCTATACTTTAAAAGTATTTTGCTGTTACTTTTAAATGACATTTTTATTGTAACCTTAGCTTTCTTGTTTACCTTTTTATATTTAATCTGCCTTTGAGATTTGTAGTATTCATTTATTCATTCATATTTCACTGATTGATATGACATATATTTACTGAGCTCCGACACAGGCATGAATAAGACAGCCATGGTCCTTTCTTATGGAGCTTAATTCTAGTACAGAGAACTGGGCAGTAAACAAATAAAATAATTTTACTAGTGATAAGTGCTGTGAAGAAAATAAAGTAGAATTGTGTGCTAGCAAGACAGGCAGCATGATAAGATAAAATTCTTATCTTTTAGGAGATTGTCCTTCAACAAAGGGATTTAAAACACATTGAAATTGCTGATCTGTGTGATGTTATATCAGTTATCTTATGTTTTCTGGGATTTTGCTACCTTTTAATACTTTGTATTCTTTGATTCCTATGGATAATATCTGTTTTGTTTTTTAATCCAGTGATATGGAAGATGTTTTATTTATAGAAATGGTTATTTTTAACATTCTTAATCTAAATTTTGCTTAACGGTCAAATCCAAAAATTACATCTTTTGTGGGGTTTTTTTTTGTAACATGTAATCCTCCTCTCTCCTTCTTACTTAGTCGTCATTATTAATCTGGTTTCACATCCACAATTACACTGATTTACCTCTATATTTAACTGCATTTAATGCTTATCATCAATCTTTACACAATAATTTTATTTTCCTAAATTTCTTAATTTTCATGTTAAACATCTTTTGCATAAATATTTTAAGTGGATTAGATATAGTTTTAAGTTCTTGTATATTTAAACTGGTTTTCTGCTGTCTATCACACATGCTATTTTATATATATGTGCATACATACATAATCTACATATACTAATATGAATATCAGTATAAAAAAGAAGAAAATCCTGCCATTTTCAACAACATGGATGGACCCCGAATAAGTAAAATAAGTCAAAGACAGATACTGTATGACCTTCCTTATGTGTGAAATCTGAAAACAACAACTACAAAAACACAACAACCCGAACTCATTGAAACAAGAATAGATTGAGGGTTACTGGGGGGGAGGGGAGGTGAAAATGAGGAGCTGCTAGCCAAAGGTACAATCTTCCAGTTAGAAGATGAGTAAGTTCTGGGGATCTAACACACAGTATGGTGACTAAAGCTAACACTACTGTATTGTATATTTGAAGGTTGCTAGGAGAGTAAATCTTAAAATTTCAACACACATGTAACTATGTGAGGTGATTGAGATGTCAGTAACCTTATCGTAATCATTTCACAATACATATGTATACCAAATCATCATGTTGTACACCTTAAATTTACACAGTGTTATATGTCAGTTATAATTCAATAAAGCTAGGGGAAAAAAGAGTAGCATTTACTTCCTAGTGAGTAAGGGAGAGGAATGGAGGGTTAGGAGTAAACCTTACAGTTACTAGTAATGTTCTGTTCCTTAAACTGAGTGGTGAAATACAGGTGCTTGTTGTAATTCATTCTTTATGCTTATGTATATTTTACTATTATCTCCTCCTTATTTAATCAGTGAAATGAAATACACAGTGGGGATGGGGTAAGGAGACATCAAGGATGGGCACTTTTCTGAGGCATTTTACTTTTAGAAGAACAGAGCAATACAGCAATCAGAAGAGGCAGATGTGTGTAAAAGATTTAAAAAAATAAATGATGCTGTACCATGTTGGACACTAATAGGAGTGATCGAGTTAGAGAAGTGAAAAGTCATAATGAAGAGATAGAAGGGGTAGTTTCAAGGACAAAGTTCTTGAGAAGTGATACAGGGTACAAAGGAATGGCTTGGCCTTTGGGGCAGTTCAATTTAATGGGGGTAGGGGGAAGTATAGGGTACAGTTGCAAGTAGGTTGGTAGATTTGTTGGTGGGAAGTCGAAGATGATCTCTGGAGATTTCTTTGTGTGCCTTTACACTCTTACCCTCCAAAGAAAAAGCTGTTAATCAAGGTAAATAATACTATTTAAAGCTAGTGTGTTTTTGTAGATACCTGAGTGAATTTGCAAGTGGCGGTGTCACTAAAGAATTCAAGGAATCCCACTAGGTATAAACTATCAGCATAACATAAGTAATCTTATTTTTGTATTATTGCATACAAAACTGTTTTCATTACAGATTCACTGGATCACTGGAAAGTTGGCAGGCAAACATCTTAAAAATATATAATATCAAAGAAAGAATTGGGAGATATTCCCACCTGGAACATTCTGTATTAGTTCTGTCTTATTTTGAAGAAGGAGATACAACTCTGTTTTTATCCAACCAGATTTTAGTTTGCTATAAAGAGACATAGCCCTTTATGTTTTGTTCCCAATCCTCTCTGTCCTCCATGATAGTTCTTGTCAGCTTGTATTATAAATTAATAAAAGAGCTAATTTAAAAAAACTATCACCTGATTCAGGAAGGCATACACTTTTCTCCATGGACGTGCAGAAAACAAAAACAATGATGACAGGGCTTGATAGTGATATTTGGCAGTATTGCATGTAATTTCTGAATAGTGTCTCATTGGCATGTTAGCTAAGCAAAGATAGTAAACTAAAGTTTATGTTTTATAAACCAGTCATCTTCTGAATACTTGCAACTGTGTTTCTATCTCCATTTCACATTGAAATTCCCAACTATTCATTTACTAAGGGCATGATGCTGAGTGACTTAGCTGTGTGAGCTCCAGGTCTCTCTGTCTCTCTCCCACTCCCTTCTTCACAGGGGAGTTTTCAGAAGCAAGTGAGGTTATGGATGTGGAAATACTCTGTAAATTAGAAATTGATGCATGTAATGGTTTTTGTAGTCATCGTTCAGTTTTTGTTGTGATTTTGCTACATTTCTAATTTAAAAGGTGGATCTTAAACTTATTTTGATAACCATAACCAAGACCTAGACTGGTGTAAAACTAATCTGGCATTACCAATACGAGCATAAGTCCTTAGGACATTTATAACTTTTTATTGTGATCCGTCAAAAATTTAGAATAATTATTTAAAATATATAGTATATCATCTTTGCTGAGGGTCACATTGAGCTGCGAGCCGCCTCAGGGGCGTCTTTACAAGTCAGCAACATGGCAGAGGACATCAAGACCAAAATCAAGAACTACCCAACTGCTCCTTTTGACAGCCGTTTCCCCAGCCAGAACCAGACCAGGAACTGTTGGCAGAATTACCTGGACTTCCACCGCTGTGAAAAGGCATTGACTGCTAAAGGGGGTGATGTCTCTCTGTGTGTGAATGGTACCGGCGTGTGTACAAGTCCCTTTGCCCTATGTCCTGGGTGTCGGCACGGGATGACCGCCGGGCAGAAGGCACGTTTCCTGGGAAGACTGGAACTGGCTGCACCTCACCTGTCCTCTGTCCTCCATCCTTCCCCCGTGGAGGTGAAGGGCGGCCTCAGTACATCCCCTAGGATCCTGGAATTATGGCTTAACTAATAAATACTTGTTGGAAAAGTGAAAAAAATAAAATAAAATATATAGTATTATATTTTCTGATAACCTGCGGGCATTTCCTTGATTGTATTGAGTAAAAGACAGCAAGGCAAATATGTCACAGAGAAGAAAGTCCAGTATCTGAAGAATGCTGTTACTACCCTAGGGACCAAGTCGAGTACATCTCTTACTCAACATACCTTCTTCGGAAATCTTCGTCTCTGGAGGTCCATTGTTGTTTCTTTCTGTCTTTCCTGAGAAAGTACTTTTTCCCCCCATTCAACAAGTATTTCCTAAGCACCTGTTCTATGCCAGGCATGGTTCTCGGGATGGAGATAAAATTACAGTTATGAGCAGCACAGACATGGTCCCTGGCCTCTCAGAGCTCCCAGTCTGTGGGGGCTAAAGACAGTTACAAAAACCCTATACAGTCTGTCCTATGACAGCGAAGGGGGATGTCAGGGGCCAGCATCTGGCAAGTGGAGTCTTGCCATTTCGTAGTTGGTCCAAAGGTAGTGGGTTATTGTTAAGCTGATTAATATTGCCATTTCTTAAATGTGATTCTTTTTAAGATGGCCCATCGCATACAGCCGGCCTTTCAAACAGCAGTCTGGGTGCACAAATTTAAAAGTCTATATAGTAAGTCTGTTTTGCAGAATCTAAATAAAGCCTTACCACTTTAAGAAGGAAACGCACAAGATGCCATGTTAAGCCCCCTGCTTTTAAAGTCGAGCACATGACTGCAGAGTCTGGAAAAGGTCAGTTGCTTTGGCCTGCAGGTTCCTGTCCTGGCTCACACTTGTCTCTTCCTGAGACTCACTGCCCAGAGGAACCCTCTCCTTGGCCCAGTCAGGTGTTCGTTGGGTGCTTCGAGAACTAAAAAGACTGCTAAAGACTGACAATTCTTCTGAGAGGAATGGAAAAGCTTATTTTAAAATGGAAGATCCTCAGACCTTCTGCTTGTGTCCAGAGCTTTCTGTACATTTGATTTCTTTGACCAGCCCGTGCATGGAGTGGCGATGAGGAATACTGTTCTCAATCTCACATGCAGAAAACAAGCGAAAGGAGGTCAAGTAAACTGCCTGTAGTTGAGGAATGTAATAGTATCTCATAATTTATTGTGCTGTATGTTTGAATTGAGTTCAGACCTGTTCATGAATACGGGACTAGTAGGCAGGAGAGTCTTGAGAGCCCACGGAAAAAGACTGAACAAAAGGGTTGCTGTGTTTTCTATAATGGGGGCATTCCTTACCACCTCATGTTTCTCAGATAAAACCCTTTCCATCAAGGAAAAAATTCTAGCTTTGGAGCCAGACTGACCTAGGTTACAACCCCACTTCCACAGTTTCCTGAACTGACATTACTTGAACAGTGAACGTGCCACAGGCTCAATCATGGCAATTCAATAGTTCCCCCCAAACTTAGCAGGGTGTCTCTCCCTCAACACACACAAAATTTTATAAGTTGAAAATTGAGGTTTGCTTACAGGAGTAAACTGGGTGAGATACAAGTTCTTGGTTTAGGACAAACTGGTCCTTTCCTGCTTGCCAGGGGGCAGGAACAAATGCTTTCATGTAATTCACGAAATACTTACCCTACATTCACAGCCTCCATCCGGCCGACTGAATAAAAATGCATGGCTGAAGTCGCTTTGCTGACCACTCTGGTTCTCTCTCCTTCATTTTTGTAAGAGGTTGACACGGCTTTCCCAGGTGGCCATTATGTGGTCACGTGCAGACAGGATTGCTGGGGTTCCTTCACCTGAATGGCAAAGTGGGCACTTGTTGACAAGAGGGCGCACATTGTGCACAGTCCAGAGTTTGCCTTCAGCAAGCTCCATGCCACAGTCTCACTCTTTCTCCTCTCAAGGTACAGCTCCAGATTTGAATTGCATCTATCATTTAGGACCTGGTTGTTTTCAAGTGGCTTGCCGAACTATGCTTCTGTCAATAACTTCCCAGGTGTTTTGTTAACACCTCTTCTAAGAGGAACCCAGGTGCATTATCCAATAGTGACTGCTGGTGTTAATTCCTCCCCAACATCACTCGGTCACTGAGCTGTCATTAATTGATGTTCACGTCAAAACGCAGCTTTTCTGTTGGTGTGACTTCACCTAGCATGTGATTATCTGGATTTTTAAAAATCTTTTTTCCATGTTTGTTCAGACTATAACAATGCAAGGCTGAATTATAAATAGGTAAATATTTTCTTGGGAATGTACCCTCCATAGGTTTCTGATCCCTACTCCCCAAAGTCATGTAAGATGCTAGTGATCCAACCAATAGGATAAACTCAAACTCATTCACATCACATGTTAAGGACCCTTTAATTTACTATTTATAGCCCATATTTTTCTAAAATTTTTCAGTTTGCACTGAGTTTAATTTGTCAATTTGTTATCTTTCTAATATATGTGAATATGAGAGAGAGGGAGAGAAACATCAATTTGTTATTCCACTCATTTATGCATTCACTGGTTGTTTCTTGTATGTGCCCTCACCAGGAACCAAACCCGCAACCTTGGCATATAGGGACAACACCTAACCAACTGAGCTACCCAGCCAGAGTGATTTATATTTTCAGTCATTGAAAAACATGGATGATTTTTGTTTTCTATAAAGGATTGCCATCAAAGATGGATTTTCAGGCTTCTGTAGCTAGAGACCTTCACAGTGCTGCCACCAGACCACAGTGGGGACAGCTCCTTTTATTATACCTAGTTTCTTCTGGTATGCCTTACTTTTAATAGCAAATACTCCTGAAACATTTTATATAACTATTGGAGAACAGACTTCTAAAAACTCAGCCTTCAATATGGTGGCCAGGCTGCTGAGCACTTGAAATATGGGTAGCCTGAATTGAAAAGTGCAAGCAGTATAAAATACACAATAGATTTCAAAGACTTAGTATGCAAAAAGCAACCTAAATATTTAATTAATAATATTTATATTATTTGTTGAAATGACATTTTATGTACAGTCAGCCCTTGTTTATCGTGGTTAATCAGTTCCAGACTCTACTGTAATAAATGAATTTCTGCAAAGTAGGATTCTTTATTTACAAATCAAATATTTTCGCAGTTACAGCATAGAAAACCTGTTTATGACCTTCTAAATATGTTTTTTAATGTTATTAGAGCCCTCTAGACATGAAATAACACCTTTTAGTCACCCTTACACTCATATTACCCAATATATTAGACAAAATAAGAGAAAATAAGATGTTACAAATATATTATTATTGTACATGTAATTACACACACACAGTTCTTACACACAACCACTAACCTATGAAAATAATGTAACTTGTTCGATGATGAAGTGATGAAGATGAAGAGATGTATTGCACAGCAAAGAAAAGTAAGGTTACTGCTCCTCTGAAGGCACGACCTAAAGTGGTGCCGTATCTTCAGCAGGTGCGTTGTCCTCTTCTTCCGCTGAAGGAGCACTAGGAGCAGGCAGTGGGTGTCTGGGTGCGTGGCTGAAGAACATCGTGATAGGCAGTTGGTGGTGCTGTCTTTTCATATGCGTGAGGAGGCTTTTGTAGGGTTCTATGGCTCCATCAAGTGCATTCTGGAACCGCAATGCACGCATCATTTGTGGGTCCCATTCGCCAGCCGTGTCCTGTACTACCTTAATAGTTCTCATGACTTGCAAGACGCTCAAGTGTAAGGCCAGCTTCCTCCTCCTGACCCCCAGGAACTTCTGGCTGCTCTTCCTCCTCCTCACTCACAGACTTAGCATCTCCACCAGATCCTCGTCAGTTAAGGGATCCGAATGTGTCTCCAGCAGCTCATCCACGTCATTGTGGGTCATATCCATATTGAACACCTGTTATGGATGATACTCGCCCTCCTCAAGGATCTTCTGGAACATGTTGTTCACGTCCTCTGCTGACCAGCCTGCAGCTTCTCCGTGGAGAACAACACTCTTCAGATGATACCTCTTCTGGAACTTCTCGAACCGACCCTTGCTCGCCGTGAAATCCATGAATGTTGCAGAAGAGGGTCCTAGTTGAGGTTCGTCCGCCATAAAGCGCTGATAGAGCTGCCTCGCCTCTTCCCAGATGACCAGCGAATCCAATGGAATGTTTTTCTTGTGGCTGTCGCTGATCCAAATGGCTAGGGCAGACTCCGTTTTCACTGTGAACTTATTACAACTTGTCACGATGCGCTTTGCTTCCTTGTTGAAAGAAACAGTAGCTTTAGCATGGATGTTCTTTTCATCTTTATGGATGGAGTGAACAGTAGACTCATTCAAGTCGTAATGGTGGGCAACCTCCATGATCTTCTTGCCATCTTTGATCATATCCAAGAGTTTCACTTTCTCCTGGATAGTAAGCATCTTCCTCTAGCACTTAGTTTCATCATCAGAAGGCTTAGAAGAAGCAGTACTTTCAGGAGCCATCATGGGGCTTAGATAAAAGTTCTCAGAAATCACAAACACAAGAGCAAAGGTGCTTCTGATGCATAGCGATGTAGAAGCATGTATGAGAGAAATGAACTTGCATGAGGCTGAGCCAATCAGTGGCCAGGATAGGAAGAGGATAGGATAGCCAATCAGTGAACAGCTCACTCTGATTGGCTTGGTTTCACCACACCCGACTTTTTGGAAAAAAGTTACTGTCCACATACAAGGAGTGGTGGAACCGTTGCACCTGGTTTTGAAGGATTTGCGGGGGTGCTGGAATACATAGGCCTACAGTCCATACATATAGCAATTTTAATTGACTCAGACAACTGAGCGCGCTATATCATTTTTACTGTCTCGATCCACTTTTTGATGAATATATTTGAAAAAAATGCAGTAGAGTGAAGCTGTGAAAGTCAGCCGAAGCGCGAAGTGGCAAGGGACAACTGTATATTGGGTTAAACAAAATATATTGTGAAAAGCTGATCCCAGCTGTTTCCTTTTCCTTTTTACAGTGGGTAGTGAAAAAATTTTAATTCCATAGGTAGCTCTCTTTAATTTCTGTTTAAGAGGACTGATCTTCTAATCCATTCTCTTCATTTTAGAGATAAGAAAACAAAATAGAATTCAGAGATATTTAGTGACTTCCTTTAAGTCCCATCGCATCTTAGTAGTAAAGCTTGAGTGATATTCTGTGGTTGGTGTACTAAAGGTGACTTTGGACCAGTTATTTAATGTCTCTGTGCCTTACTTTCCTTATCTGTAGGGTGGTTGTGCAGATTTGAATGACACATATGTTAAGCATATATGTGTGGCATGATATTCCGTAATACCACATACTATCAATTTTACCTTGGTAAAAGAAAAAAGGGCAAGTATTTGTTCTTACATTTAACATATTTTTAGCCTGTTTTTTCTCTTTCCCAGAAATATTCCACCATTTAAATAAGAGTTCGTAAACAACAAGTGTTGGCGAGGGTGTGGAGAAAAGGGGACTCTAGTACACTGCTGGTGGGAATGCAGACTGGTGCAGCCGCTATGGAAAACAATATGGTGCTACCTCAAAAAATTAAAAATTGAACTTCCATTTGACCCAGTGATCCCACTGCTGGGAATATACCCTAAGAAGCCTGAAACACCAATCAGGAAGAATATATGTACCCCCATGTTCATAGCAGCACTATTTACAATAGCTAAGATCTGGAAACAGCCCAAGTGTCCACCAGTAGACGAATGGATAAAAAAGTTGTGGTACATATACACCATGGAGTACTATGCAGCGGTAAGAAAGAAAGATCTCTTATCCTTTGAGACGACATGGAGGGACCTGGAAAGTATTATCCTAAGTGAAAGAAGCCAAGCAGAAAAAGACAAATACCACATGATCTCACTTATATACGGAATATAATGAGCATAACAGTCTGAGGAATACAGTAGACCCAGACACATGGAAGTAGGGCACAGACTGACATCCCTCAGAAGAGGGGATGGGGGGTGGGGGGGTGGGAAGAGATAAACCACAGAACTTATATGCATGTATGCATGACCAATGGACATGGACAACTAAGCCGGGGACAGGGTGGAGGGGGGTGGGGTGGGGGGTGCCAATGGGGTAAAAAGGTAAAATATCTGTAACAAAAAAATAAATAAAAATTCATTAAAAAAAAATAATAATAAATAAATAAATAAATAAATAAGAGTTCGTGGTTAAACCTGGTTAGTAGGATATCTTATTTTTCCATAGAAATATAAACTTTGTTCATTATAATCTGAGAGATATTATAATCCTTATGCTAAGTATAACTGGAATTACTCTCATTATAAATATAAATATCCATAAAATAACTTTTATGAAATAAAGTGTAAACAGATGAATAAAAAGCTCATCCAAATAGCATTTTTTTTCTAATTGCATCAAAAAGAATAAAATATCTAGGAATGAATTAAACCAAAGAAGTGAAAGACCTATACACTGAAAACTATAAGACATTGGTGAAGGAAACTGAAGACACAAATAAATAGATCTTCCATGCTCATGACTTGGAAGAATTAAGTGTTAAAAATGTCCAAAATACCCAAAGCAATCTATAGTTTCAATACAACCCCTATCAAAATATCAGTGGCATTTTTCACAGAAACAAAACAAACATTCTTAAAATTTGTATGGAACCACAAAAGGCCTTGAATAGCCAAAGCAATCTGGACAAAGAACAACAAAGCTGGAGGTATCATGCACCCTGATTTAAAACTATACTGCAAAGCTATAGTAGTCAAAACATATGGTACTGCATAAAAACAGATACATAGACCAATGGAGCAGAATAGAGAGCCCAGAAATAAATCCACAC